CGTAGCTGGATGTTGGTGCGTAGGCGACGAAGATTGTCAAAGCAGGAGTTGAACCACATCTTCTCAATCTCAAACGTCCGATTCGGGTCGTAAGGCTTTCGTACGAATCGATGTTTATGGCCAAGTGCGTGTTGACGAGGACACCCACACCGCCAACGCCTCTGCTGTCGCATGTTCCAAGGAACAGTTCTTCTCCAGTATCGAAAACGGCGTGTAGCGGGCGGTGCCTTCTCGTCTCGGTCAGTCCGATGACGTCGTACTTGATCTTCCTGGCCTGCATCATCAGATCTTCGATGTGAGCTTCGGATGCAAGCGTTCGTGCGTTGAAAGTACAGATCGCCATCTTAGTCCTTCTTCGTTTAGGCAGCCTATCCGGGCCCTGAGATTCTAGCAGCCTCTCCCGAGCGGTCCTACCCAACGCTGCCGTATTGGGGGCTCCCTCAGGTTCAGGGGAATGAGGCCCATCCATATTGCTGTTTTCGGCATATTGAAGGCACACGAGTAGCTTGCCAGGCTCTGTCGTGTGGGCTAGGATAGACCTCCAGGTAGTTAGCCACGCTATCCTGGAGCGGAACAAGGGGCTTAGTTTTTGGAGGCGGCCCCGAATCGCCTCCCATGTACTTCCCAGTCACTTGAATGCAAGCTTTTGGCTGTGCCGACATGCAGGATACCAACCGCACACACAGAGCGCACCACACACGCAAGCATGCATGGATGCGCCTGAGTGGAGACAGCTGGTATGAATCAACACAGCACTACAGAAACAGGGAGTCCATCCCCTGAATCCACCTGCGTCTCAGGGCAAGTACATGGTGGCTTTTGGTCCGCGATTTACCCCCTATCCGCCACCTGGGGTCGCGCCACGTAGCCTCGCCACCAACCGGCTCGAGATCTTTCAGTGAGAGAGGACCCTCAGTGAAAGAGATCCGTGGATCAAAAGACCACGGCCATAGGTGGGTGAATCAGCGGTTGAGTAGACGGATCAGCGCTTGGAGCCGAATAACGTCGCTCTTGGGCTCGCTTTGACACATCTTATCGCACTCTCTACGGCATTGCTCGTTTTAGCTTATTCGCTATGCTTCACTAGCCCGTCATGGTTGTGCTTTTTAAAGGAAGCGATTACGATAAGGAATTTTCGCATCGGGGAGAACCTGCGCCACACGGAGCAATTACTTGGCTGCCAAGGAAGCGATGTGTGGCCCTCCCACGGCGAAAGGTGCTGTGGTTGCTGAGCAGGACCCGCGTGACGCCCGCCCCCAGTGACGTGACGCCCACTAGTTTTGTTGATGATCTGGATGGACTGTTTGCTGTTGGCTTTTCATTTTGGATGATCATTTCCCTTCTAGCGGCTGTATCTTCCAACTTGCCCACGTATTGCCTTATCAATCAAAACACTATGCTTGTTGGCATGATGGCGGCTATCGGGGTTAACACGTCCGAACAACGTCGTTCTTTACCGTCGCTCATCCATGGTCGAAAATGAAAGGGCAATCAAAGGGGTACTATTTTGCTTATTTTTGACGGATTTCTTTGCTTTTTTCGCCATTGGCGTACTATTGAGACCCCCACGTCCCCTCTAAACCCCTTTGAGATCTATCGTAATCGCTTCCTTTAAGATTGTAAACACGATGATTTGATATTGATTCAAAATATGATACCAAATGCGGCAAGCTGGTAAGAATGAAAAGTAAGGAAGTAAGAAAAGCACAAGTGCACATTTAACGATATACACCTACCCACGCCATTTTTCATAAGAATCTCGTGAAATCCCTGAGATCGAACCGTAACTGCTTTACCTACGAGTGAATTTCGGCACAAATTGCCTAGAAGTAGAAGAAACGAGAACACTTCCTCAAAAAACAGCTTTTCTGCTTCCCGTGCCATGACATCGTGCTACGTAGAAACGCTTCATCTCTGTTGTAGTACGACCCATGTGAGCTGCTATAAATCTAGCGCACGCTTTTGAAATCGTGCAGCTTACAGAATGAGAAAGTGTTATGAGCAGTCGAAAACCATCATCTTCCAGATTCGCACATCTAGGGAATATCGATTTCCAACTAGCGCAGTGAGATCTCGTCAAAATAAGTACAGAATGAGATCTCCTCCGGCAGTGTTTGACGTCAATCCCCCCCTGTTTCCTGCCACACTCAACTATCCCTGAAGTGACACGATTATGCAAAAGAAAGTCAGCTTGTTAGAAAATGTTCGAAATATCGATGTGAAGGAAGGCAATCACCATATAAGCAATTAGTCAGCTAAGGAGGATGGCATAATAGAAGCTTTTTTCATGTTTCAGAGAGCTTGCCAACATGTGCATTTTGTTATGGCAGTAGTGTCAGGTATCGGTTGTGTGGTTACATTGCTTATTCCTATTTTTGTCACACTCCTCTGCCCGGACAACACACACGCGCAGGTATGCTGGGCACATTCTCCTTGAAGTTAACATCACCAAACAAAAATCTGCGCACATAACGTCAAGTGTCCCGATTGCCCGATGGCTGATGGCAGATGCCCGATAGCTATGGACGTGGCCCGCAGTGCACGGAAACTGACCGTGAGGTTGCGAGATGGCGTTCAAGACTGCCAGCTTTCTTTGAACAACTATCACTGCGTAAACGGGAGAACAATGCAAAATTTTCAACCGCTGCACTATACATATCTGCCGAAGAGGAAAGAAATGCACGGAGAATTATCACTGAGAGATTATCACTAGGATGCTACTATGGCCAAACCACTTCGACCTAGGCAAAAAGCAAACTCACACTCTTTTTCAATTGAATACACGCTCTAGGATTAGGCGTGCTCACCTGTTCCATACCTGAGCGTAGTAGGCAGGCGGACAAGCGTTGATGTCGCGCCCCTTTTGCGGCTTGAAAGTGCGCGACAAAGGCGCAGAAGCTCGTCCAACCCGCAACCACACCTTCGTCCGCAAGCCCCACCCTCCGCTGTCGGTTGCCACGTGGCGCTGCTTGAAAAGCGCGGGCGCATTGAGGCAGCGGTTCCATTGCGGTTCAATGTCATTGGCACTGGAGCAACTGGAGCTAGGTTCGTGAAACTCGTCCAACACGCCCCTTCTCTATCCCAAGGTGGAATGCGGCTGAAATAGAGGAGTCTTATTCGGGCGTAATCGGGGGTTTCTCTTGCTTTCTTTTTCTTTTCCAACCACTCTTACCTCTAGCTTCATTAGTGAATGCTCTTCCACACCTATTTGATCCCGAACCTTGCCTTTAACGGACAATCGTGATAGCGACTACCCCGAAGAGATTGTTTCACCTCACAATTAGCCCTCAATAGTCTAATTACCATAGCCTACTGGCATCGCTCAAAAAACGATGTAAGAATAGTGACATGATATTTTACATCCTTATGATTATTAATCCGTAAATGCAGTTATTGAGACAAGTCTACATCATTTAGAAGTTCGCTTTTCAGTGGTCTCGATTATTCCTCGGAATAAGCGCGATCGTGGTGGTGATGAATGTACCGTTTGTGTTCGTGGCTAGAACTGACCCAGCACCATGGACTGTCCCTGGCTTCGCAGTTTCTTCATCGACAAAAGTTGCTAGCGAAATGAAAACGCCAACCACGCTTCAAGTCGAGAAATTGTCATATAATGGCAAAATATCTGGTGCATAAGTTAAATTTAATGTAACACTGCCAAAGCTCACTTAAACATAATAGGTTTATGACAGCATTGCATCGATCGACTAACAGTATTTACAAATTTATGTCTATGTTGTTCTAACGAAACTTCCAAAGCTTATATTGAATGACTCAGCCATTTTCTGAAATGGTTGCATGAGTGCCGAAGCCTTTTGAGGGCAGCGAACACGATGGCTCTAGGGCGGAGCAGCTTCGATGACTCTATTGAGCGTCATTGGTGGATAAGCGTTTTTAGGTTATCTCAACCACACCCTCCAGCACGGTGAAGTCTACCAAGAGCGTGCAATGACGTCACGAAAACCTTCCCGGCTCATTGAATTTGAAACTAACTCTCGCTAATTATCGCGTTCCTCAACATGAAATAGGAAATAAAGCGAAATAGTTCGGATTGGGTTTTTTTTTAACCCTTTCCGAATCGCGCACTTTTGCCGTGGCGGGCGCGTGTGGCCGGCGCCTTTTTATGCTCACCGCCGCGTGCTGCGCGGCGAGCATAAATATAATATATTTGACCTGTATTTCCATTAAACCATTATTTGTCCCGTTTTTGTATTTTTCATGTTAAGAGTATATATGTAGTGAATATGACAGAAAACCGTTGTGTAATAAAAGTGATAGGGCCATAAAAGGGAGGCAGGAATGAAAATTGTTCAAAATAAGTTGTAATGGGGAAAAGGGACCAGAAAGTGTCCGAAACGTTTGGATTTAATAGCATCAGATACGACATGCACGTGGTGTCATAAATTCTGTTGTATGAAGTGTTTTCAAATGATTTATAACTGTTTTCTCTTGAGCTCAAAGTGGAATCCATTTAATTTTTGGTTATTTTAGGAACTAGTTTGAGATTGAAGTCTAGGTTTTTCATACGTACGACATGAGTATGTTACATAGATATGTAACAACATAAAACATTTTATCGGAAAACCGTATCCTCGGAAAAACAGCCCTGGCACCCCATGGGTGTAATTTTCTCCGCTAATCTATGGTTGCTGTATACCAACACGTAAATTCTCTGCGAAAATATACTATTTAGACCAACGATTTCTGAATGATGGGAATAAATGTTTTTCGCTTTATTTGGTAAACAGTAATACAGATGCAAGCATTTGCACAATTACAGAATAGAAAACTGAGTTGACTTTTTCAGATTTGAGGAAGACGTTAGGCGCTTAAGCTTTCCTCAAAGGGCTTAGCACTTTTGCAATGTATCGGGAGAATCCCAATTATTTCAAAATAAAGGTTGGAAGTCCTAAATTGTACAGCATGCTATCTAAAGCAGTATGAGATACGGATATGCACACGCATACTCGTGGGAATAACAAGGAAGAAAATCGGAGAATCTAATCACCAGTTTTCAAGAACACGCTGTCTTCAAAAGAATCCTGACTTCCATTTTCTTTTATATTGCTGCTCTTGCTAGGAACAGCGTGCGTAGTAGTTCTAAGCCCAGATTTTTCGATTTCGGCGGAGTTTCCACCACTTTGACTCAAAACTAGACTACTCGTCGACGACGAACGAACTGAAGCGACAGGTCTTTTCGGGGTAGAGCTCGAGGCGACTGCAGGAGAAGCAACGCGTTTGATAGTGACCGATGTCGCTGGCGAAACTGACGGCAGAGAGCGACGAGGATTAGAGCTCACCGATGGACGTCGCGACGGTGTTTGACCGGACGGATTCTGAAGAGCAACTTCAACCTGATTCACTGAAGAATGTCAGTAAACTCTACTCACTTTCGTGTGGTATTGCAATGCGAGGAACGCTTCCATTTGCAAACATTCGTACTCCTCCTGACAAAGTATCTGAAAAATGCGTCGATAACATAAGATTCTTAGGCACTTTCAACTACTACAACACCAAAATCTTAATTTTTTATTTCCTCGAAAGCATACTAAGAATTCGGCGTTCTATGACACTCATTTCCAACGTTGCTGTCGTGTCGCACTATTTTGCCCTTAGGTGCAACCGATTTTTACCGAAATCGCTGTAAACTTACTTAAACGTGTGGACATTAGTTAGAAAGGTATCTTTTCAAATATATTGAAGGCCGCGCAAATTGCACACACAGTGACTGTAATCATGTATTTCTCATTGGTTTATGGTACAGTTTACCTCTTTTGGCGACGTTCCGGTAAGGGAACTAGGACAAGAAGCACTGCTGGGGGCAAGAAGATTCCGATTGTTGAGATTCCATGTACAGGGGGAGGGGGCAAAGAGTCACTTCACCCATGGCGCACATCATCAAATTTTTCGTCGCACAGGATGCCGCTGTTGATGAATGTTTTACGGCAGAATATTCCTTAGATGTCCCCCAAAGCAGAAGCAGGCCCTCCTTCACTGCCCCATCCGTCTTCAGAATATGACGTCATCTTACAGTAATCGCTCCGGCCTGAAGCTGCTACATGAATTTCTTCAATGATTAACTGTGAATAGCTTCTCAGAGACACTAGCTGTGACTATGCAAGACCGCTTTTGACCAGCGTTTCAGGGACGTCGTAATGGTCTATGGTACCTCGACGACCTCGTTGAGCTCGTACCGTGAACCATGTTTCCGTGGGAAAATCTTCTGATGTCGTCGGTGTAGAAGGCTGTTATGTAACTTTTTGATAGATTAGAATGTGCTCTTTAATATTCAGTTGGGCTCATTTGGTTTGGTTTCGCAACGTGTAATTAATTCGTTTTGAATGAGGGGAAGTGACTTTTTTTGGCCCTTCTGTATAAGACAATAGGAGGCCCTCATCATTTGGCCCTCATCATATGGCGACGAGGCAGGGAAAACCTTCATTTTCATTGCCTCGTCGCCAGCATCTTTTCCTGATATTGAGCACTACCACGGCTACTGCGTATATCCCTTCAGATTCGAGGAGTAACTTGAAAGATAAAATATCCCTTGGAAAACGTGCGAATTTCGGATTCTTTAACTTGTGTGGTGATAAAACACTGAAGTAACTAAGAATTGCTAAGCGGACACCTCTGAATCACGAAGATTTTGTGTGGGCGGAATAACATTGGAAATCCTCTGGCCTGGCATCGACTCGATCCTTGATGTTTGTCCTCCGACGGTGATCCTACTGCATCAATCCGGCCCGATCTCTTCCTCCCAGCGGGCCAATACGACTCCCCCCAGGGTCAGTCCGTTGTTACTTTTCCAAAAATTTTTACGACCCCCCTCCCCCAAGGTGGATTTGGTACGACCCCCTTTTCGACACCTCGACCACCATATTCCTCTCTATAGTATTTAATTCTGGTACCACTCAACCCACCAAACTCCGCCCACTTTTTCCTCCAAAAATGCCGTCGAGCGGGGGGGGGTATATACGCCGGCTGAAACGGCAAATTTTTATCCTGCGCGCCCTCCACTCGCCCAGCCTACTACCCACGAAATCTTAGTTTCACCTCAATCCCACACGTGATTTCGAGCGACTAAAGTGGGTACGACCCCCCCCTCCTACAAACTCAACCAGGTACGACCCCCCGTTGTTACTCGTAACAACGTAGGGTTGACCCTGCTCCCCACCCCTGTGACGTGTCGAGGATTCCTCAACGCACGCTTGACCCTATGCAGCACTCTCGTCGCTCGCAGTTCAACGTTGCCAAAACGATGATCAGTGTTTTTTTTGGAAACATTTGCTTTTCCTCAAACCGTGTTAGATAAGCATAAGATTTTCTTCAAGTTTCGCTATTCGAAAAGTATGTGAGGATCCTCCATTTTGGTCGAATACTAAACAATTACCACGGAAGACATCTAATTCCCCGGGGAACTTTGAATGAGGACCTAGCTGTGTCGATAGCCTAAAGCGCTGGTTACAATTATAGGAACTAAAACTGCAAAAGAACATGCAAAGAAAGTTGGAGCAGTCAGTTGGTTGTAAATAAAGCGTCACATATTAAAAATGCACCGTGACAGCACTTAGAAGAAAAACAGACAAAAAGTATGACATGATTGTAAAAACTGCTCTCGCTCCACTTGGATCGGCCACACGTTATTTTAGCACAATGACGTGACTTTCCCCATAGTTCCTTATCGAAAACAGTGCCTTTTCCATTTTTCGCCTGAGAATGATCTTGAACATTTAAAGGCAAAAGTCGGGCTCAATAAGGGGTATTATGGCGATTGAAACTGAGTATAGAGATGCGAAGTGGAACGACAGTGGAGAAAAAACTGAGAAAAACCGTCGACAAGGCCGTTAACAAAACCCTCTTTCCCACTAGCAGTGAAGGAGGCTGGCTTGGGAAAGAGGCACGTACAAACAAGTTTTCTGGAGATGTCAGTCGTTCTATCGGTTGATACGGCAATCAACCTAGCTGATTCACACGTTATGCCAGCCACGCACCACTTCCGGAGGTGGGCGGTCCCGGATTGAAACCGACGGCCCCGGGGGCTTAACGACGTTTTTCAAGGTGGGAAGTTGCTGCAATGTGTGCAGCTACCCACATACAACCTCCAGGCACGGGAATTACTTCTCTAGCGTGTCTGAGCCCGACCTTTGCCTTTAACATACCCACCAGTCCAGCAGGAGATTAAGATTGAAAGGTGACTAGTTTTCCGATTGAGGCTTGGTCAAATTGGATGCTTTCCTTATGATGTAGTGTTCATTATGATCGGAAAGCAAAAAAAAGCTCGATTATATGAACGAGTTCTCCGATCAAAACATGGGTGGAGCAGGGATGGCTACGTCCCATGTATCCCAATGTTGAATTTTGCTGCGAAGGGCCTCGTCGAACAATATATCCCGCGACATCGCACATTCTTGTCTAGTTAGTTACACGCCCGCATGCTCTTCTTGCGCAGCAACAGCCGCACTTATTCATAGCTAAAATGGACAATGTCAATGATTAGCTAATCAACAAAACTAACCTCTCTAATGGAATACGCCTGAATCGCTACATTTCCCTTGAAACGCGAAAGTTTTCCAGCAATTAGAACGAGGACTCCGCGCGGAAACTTCTCCGTTGGTCGCAATACGTCATAGAACTACAAGAAATATCACATGTGTCTATCAGAGAAATTTATTTATTTAATTATTTAGAGAAATGGAAGCAAACGGGAAAAAAGCAAAACCTCAAGACGTAACCTCATCATTATAGAGAACGGAGATCTTGTGCTTGCCATTTCCTTCCACAGACGGATCGCTGACAATGTACTCAAGTTGGCCGATGCTTCGAACGAACCGAAAGGAATCTACACGACCAACACAGAGCACCTAAACGTAAGCTTCTGGTTTCCATGATTAGCCGACAGGATGCTAGGTTGACAATCTTCATTTGTGCCACTAGCCAACACTGGCATTGCTAGCTGACAGGAAAATCAGGTGATACGCTTCACCAACAACGACTGCTTATTCAGAGGCTACCTCTAGAACTTGGAAAGCTATCAGAACTGATTTTCATCCTCACTCAAAATCCCTCTGCATATGAAGTAGTAGGCTGGTGTGAAGAGCTGAGGAGACGTAAGAAATTGGATGATGTGGGTTAGGTGTTCCGCAGGACTTAGATGGAGTATCAAGGAGCTGTTTGGCGGCAAAGTCAAAGTTTCCAACCCGGTCTCGTACTTTTTGCTAAAGATTTTTTTTCGTAAAGTACAGCTGTTTTGTGGTGAAGTTGGTTCAGGAAGTTGACCCTTTTTCTTTCTCATAGAGCCTCATAGAGCCAGTGCACAGTTTGATGTAGGTCGCTTCTTGTTTGCAAAAATCCGTAAGAGGTGCATACAGCTCCTCAAGATGCCGTAGAACATTCACGTGCACATTTTAATTTCGGTTCGTCATCGTTCAAAGCAAAGTCCAATTGACAAACAAAATAATATGGCCGGAGAGTAGTCGCTTCCATACTATTTGATGTCCTCTTTTGAATGAAAGCACAAGAACCTACGAAGATTCAAAGCTGCCTAGTGGGATGAAAGTAAATTTGTGCGTTATTTATTATGCCAGTTTAGCTCCGCACGTTACCGCGCGCATGACATCGTAAGCTTCGGTGCAACTGGACAGTCGGTGGAGCGTTAGGTTCCACCGGTAGGAAATAAGTTGCTTTCAGAAATGCGTTAGCTCACTGTCCGCTTGATACGCGCGGTGGAGTATGGGGTTAAAGTGATGTCTGTAAACAACCACATGCATCGAATGTCAGGACAATTTAGCGGTCGTACAACATTTGATGCTAATGATGTTGAAATGGAAATACCTGTACTGATTATCATGTTTCTTCGAACATCCACCGTGCATTTTTAGGAACTCTGGAGAGCGTAGCGGCCAAATGGTGATTTGGGCTAAGGACGACAACGCATGTGAAATGATATTGAAATGAATTGCGTTATCTCATATCTGCTTTTGGGTGGCCTCTGTGCTCTTACGCAAGTCGACGTCATTAATCCTTATCAGCCGATATCAGTTTCTGACCCCCACCAAATATGTTCCCGTCCCACCCTTTACACCACTTATCGAAACCAACGCCCCTCTGCTGCTGAGAAACCCGCAGTAAGTTTCGTGAAATTTGCGTTCTATCGTCCTATTATCAGGTCTTATATCAGTCGTTATCACTTTTTGACCCCCCACCAAATATGTTCCCTACCCACCTCCTGTTCCCAATGTCTTTCCCTACCCATCTCTTTCACTGAGGGTCCTCTCTCACTGAAAGATCTCGAGCCGGTTGGTGGCGAGGCTACGTGGCGCGACCCCAGGTGGCGGATAGGGGGTAAATCGCGGACCAAAAGCCACCATGTACGATCTCAGGGATTTCACGAAATCCTTTCAAAAAATGGCGCATTGTAGGTGTATATACGTGCAGTGAGCTCCCTGCACTTCGCGCTCTTTCTTACTTCCTTAACTTTTCATTCCTTTCCACAGCCTTGCGCGCATGCACTTGTCCACCGCTTGGATCATATTTTTGAATCAATCTATACAAATCATTCGCTGTTCACTATACCTAAAGGTCTCTAGATGTGCCCTCGTCCCCGCGCAGCCTCGATCGGACCTAAATTTTTTAACACACGACCCAAAGCTCCAAAAGTTTTATTCCAAAAGAATTCCAAAAGTTCACAAAAAAGTCCAAATACTCCAAAAAAACGAGCCAAAAAATTTTTTTAAAAGAGAATTCCTTTGGAAACTTCCGCGATATTTCGGTGTATAACACCTTCTTCAGGCCTGAAATACATTGATTATAACTTGTATAATATTTTTAGTGGTTTCCCTAATCCCCGTAGGTACTTACATGGAGTTGCCTCTGCCAAGGATAAAGCTACCCTTACGGGAGCCGCGCCGATGGAGTAGAACAGAATGACTTGCCCCTCACCCTCTGCTTAAATAGTAGCGGACGTACTGTGACGGTCATTTTATGTGATAATAAAAATGACGTGACGTTGAGCACGTAGTTAATTTATTAGTTGTAGAGCGTCACGTAGTTCGTCCTTACTATTTATTTCGGGTGATAGTTTTCTTATTTCTAATGCCTCCAATAATTAAGTTATTTATTATTTATTATTTATTTATTTATTTATTTATTTCGGGGGTGATAGCTTTCTTATTTCTAATGCCTCCAATAATTTATTAAATAGTAAGGACGAAATAAATAGTAAGGACGAACTACGTGACGCTCTACAACTAATAAATTAACTACGTGCTCAACGTCACGTCATTTTTATTATCACATAAAATGACCGTCACAGTACGTCCGCTACTATTTAAGCAGAGGGTGAGGGGCAAGTCATTCTGTTCTACTCCATCGGCGCGGCTCCCGTAAGGGTAGCTTATCCTTGGCAGAGGCAACTCCATGTAAGTACCTACGGGGATTAGGGAAACCACTAAAAATATTATACAAGTTATAATCAATGTATTTCAGGCCTGAAGAAGGTGTTATACACCGAAATATCGCGGAAGTTTCCAAAGGAATTCTTTTAAAAATTTTTGGGCTCGTTTTTTGGAGTATTTGGACTTTTGTGAACTTTTGGAATTCTTTTGGAATAAAACTTTTGGAGCTTCTCTGTGTTAAACAAATTATTAAAAGCACAACATGAACGGGCCCAGTAAGCTGTAGCGAATAACGCCTAAACAAGCCGAGCAATCGCCGTAGCAGAGTGCGATAAGATGCGTGTGTCATCGAGAAAGAGGAGCCGCAAGACGCGACGTTATTTGCTCCACTAATCCGTCTACTCAACCGCTGATTCACCCACCTATGGCCCGTGGTCTTTTGATTCCACGGATCTCTTTCACTGAGGGTCCTCTCTCACTGAAAGATCTCGAGCCGGTTGGTGGCGAGGCTACGTGGCGCGACCCCAGGTGGCGGATAGGGGGTAAATCGCGGACCAAAAGCCACCATGTACTTGCCCTGAGACGCAGGTGGATTCAGGGGATGGACTCCCTGTTTCTGTAGTGCTGTGTCGATTCATACCAGCTGTCTCCATACAGGTGTATCCATGCATGCTTGCGTGTGTGGTGCGCTCTGTGTGTGTGCGGTTGGTATCCTGCATGTCGGCACAGCCAAAAGCTTGCATTCAAGTGACTGGGAAGTACATGGGAGGCGATTCGGGGCCGCCTCCAAAAAATAAGCCCCTTGTTCCGCTCCAGGATAGCGTGGCTAACTACCTGGAGGTCTATCCTAGCCCGCACGACAGAGCCTGGCAAGCTACTCGTGTGCCTTCAATATGCCGAAAACAGCAATATGGATGGGCCTCATTCCCCTGAACCTGAGGGAGCCCCCAATACGGCAGCGTTGGGTAGGACCGCTCGGGAGAGGCTGCTAGAATCTCAGGGCCCGGATAGGCTGCCTAAACGAAGAAGGACTAAGATGGCGATCTGTACTTTCAACGCAAGGAACGCTTGCATCCGAAGCTCACATCGAAGATCTGATGATGCAGGCCAGGAAGATCAAGTACGACGTCATCGGACTGACCGAGACGAGAAGGCACCGCCCGCTACACGCCGTTTTCGATACTGGAGAAGAACTGTTCCTTGGAACATGCGACAGCAGAGGCGTTGGCGGTGTGGGTGTCCTCGTCAACACGCACTTGGCCATAAACATCGATTCGTACGAAAGCCTTACGACCCGAATCGGACGTTTGAGATTGAGAAGATGTGGTTCAACTCCTGCTTTGACAATCTTCGTCGCCTACGCACCAACATCGAGCTACGACGAGGAGGAACACGAAGCATTTTATATGGAATTGGAGAAGTTCTACAAGGAAGATCATACCTTCTTCAAGGTCATCGTCGGCGACTTCAACGCCAAGATTGGCCCAAGAAGAACGGCTGAAGAACTTCACATCGGTACTCACGGAATGGAATGGAATGAGCAGGGTGAGAGACTGTCGGAGTTTATCATGTCGACCAACACCATCCATGGTAACTCACAGTTCCAGAAAGCCCCCTCACCTTCTTGGGAGTCACCTGATGGACAGTTCCATAACGAGATAGACCACATCATCTTCAATCGAAGGTTTTGCCTGACCGACGTCGCTGTTGTTCCGAAGTTCTACACGGGATCGGACCATCGTCTCCTCCGCGCAAAGTTCCACTTTTCGATGCGTGTTGAGAGAGCCTCGAAGTTCAGGAAGCGAAGCCCCAGGACAGTCATCAACTGGGATCACTTCGCTTCCCTCGTCAGCTTATGGGAGGATTCCGTCATCGAAAACATCGACGAGGAGTACTATCGGCTCGTTGAACACCTTCACGAGAGTGGCAGGAAGGCAGAGAGTTTGCAAGTCACCAAAGGACGTCTGTCTACGGAAACTCTCGAGCTGATACGCCAACGTGGAGCCGCACGAGCTGCAGGCAATCACCAACTCACGTCCGAGCTTGCGAAGCTATGCAGAGAGGCGATAAAGGAAGATCTCAAGGAGCGAAGAGCAGCAGTATTAGCTGAAGCAGCAGAGGCTGGGAGGAGCATCCGCAATGCCCGCCGAAGCTTTGCCAGCTACAAGACCAAGATGACCTGCCTCCGACGTCCGGATGGAACAGTTACTGCATCCCGAAGGGCAATGGAGAAAGTCATCCACGACTTCTACTCGGATCTCTTCGATAGCGTATACATTGATGCTATACGTTCGTGCCCCTGCAGTACTCTCTTCAAAGTCCGCACGAGACGTACCCATCAAAGTCGGTGCATACATTATACGAAGTTATGACATCTGAAGAATGCGCCGCCAGTTATCATCAAAACTCTGGCTCGACTCTTCACGCGCTACCTGTCGGAATGCAAGGTACCCACTCCGTGGAAAACCAGCAGGACCGTGTTGCTGTACAAGAAGGGAGACTTGGACGACATTGGCAACTATCGCCCAATCTGCCTGCTGTCTGTAATCTACAAGCTATTCACTCGAGTCATCCTTAACAGGATCGGCAGAATACTAGATGAAGGACAGCCATGCGAGCAAGCAGGGTTCCGAAGAGGGTTCAGCACGATCGACC